GAATGAGAGCATCTCTGTAGGTAGCGGGTTGACGTAGTGTGCCATGGGTGGAGACGTGTCAACCTTGATGGGAGTGGTACTGCAGCGTGTTAGGGTAGTGTTATATGAGGAGACAACCAGAGAGGGACCAAGGATGGTAGTGATGCTTGATTGTACTTGTATATGGAATAAATGTCTTTAACTTGTATGATTTATTGGGAGCTTGACTTTGTCTTTTTACACCCAACTGAAGCAGATTTTAACAGACTTGTACATAGCAAAAAAAAATTTTTGGTTGAATATCTGAAAATAAAAAAAATTCTTCTACACTGACATTCAACTTGTCCGAAATTATTTAATGAAAAAAGATTCAGAAAAGCAAATCAAGCAAACCAAAAGCATGGGTAAATGAACTGTGGTTCCAATCCGTGCACTGAAAAATATACAAAAATACCAAAAAATTATACTGCACTCAAAATTTTTTTAGATAAAGTTCATTACTTCATTTAATAATTCATTGTGATATAATATGGACATAATTCATTAATTACAGAAAATTGATAATATATACTCTAAAGTCAATAAATTGATAATATATACACTTAAATCAAACAATATATCTTAGTAGAAACAATGTAAGGGATTTTTCATTTTTTATCTTTGATAGGGCCATTGAATGGATGTTTTAGATCCCGAGCGCGCAGCTCATCACAAGACCCGGCAGCAGCAGACAGAAGACAAGAATCCGGTACCTCCAGGAGAAGTGAGGGATTCCTTTTACATACAATCTGGGAGAAATAAAAGATTGACATCAACTACAGCAGGGGTTCTCAACGTTAGTCCTCAGGACCCCCTACCAGTCCAGGGTTTAGGGATTACCTGGGTGTGTCTAAGGTGTTTAGAAAAAAAAAAACACCTTTGAGTCTAAGGTGTTTTTTTCCCTTTTTCTAAACACCTGAGACACACCCAGGTAATCTCTAAACCCTGGACTGGTAGGGGGTCCTGAGGACTGGGTTGAGAACCCCTGAACTATAGGGATCTACCATTGCACCACGACTTATATATCAAGATACACACACACAGCTTGAAAATAGGACCTACATCCTTGGAGAATGTGGTGAGATCCACCCATATATTATAGTGTGTACACACTGGGACTGTATATACTTATTTTTCTCTTTTTGTATTTTACTTTTTTTCATTTTTTTCTTATATTCTTTTACTTTTTTATTCTTTTTTTCTAAATTACCCCTTTTTGTGGATGGTACCTTTGGAAGATACAGCAATACAGCATAACTTGAGGAGTCATAAATCTGTGGTCAGCGATCTTTAGTTACATGGAGTTATATTAGTAGGCTCATAATGCATTGTTTCTGTTACGGTACCTCCAGGAGTAAAATGTCCAAACCGCCGTTTAGCGAGTATTCCCCGTTCGCAATAGTGTGGTCGGGTAGCGGGGATACTGAGACCATGCGAACCGCCAGCCAGGGAACACTCCAAACTCCCGAACGGTACCTATACGACTAATTCCATTCTCGAGCGGTAAATCCACGAACGGCAAGTAATAACCGAACGACAATAACTCCCAATCGGCAAATAATCCAAATAAGTAGTCGCTAGCCGCCGGTAACCAAATCCCCCCAATAACGAGACCAAGCTCCGCTTTGAGGGTAAAACACGAACTGGTTTACTGTGGGCTACCTGCCCGTATTTATGCAGGTCTCCCAATTGGTGGAGACTCCCCTAGGGGACCAAATGGAATAACAGAAGGACATGGGGACATTTCAGACATACATCCCCACAATATTCCCAGCATGCAACACAGTTTCCTCCCCTCTGCTCGGTAGATAATTGAGAAGTAATTCAATTATCTCCCAGAACAGAGGCAAATCGCCTTTTTTTTTTTTTAAATACAAGTTACAAAACACATTAAAATACATAACTTTATAACTGTCGAACGTATTGCATTCGTATAACACATCCCCAGATAGCCTGGATCTGAGTGCATATTATTGGCGAATAGCGCTCAGATCCCATACACATAGTTCAATCGCCATGGAGTCAAAGTCTATTACAGTTCTTCGGTATGCGATTGACTTCATGGGAAGGCTATCTGGGGTAAGTCCATTCGTGCCTTTAAATCTCTCGAGCGGCTGGTATTCGTATACTTTTGTCGATTGTGAAGGGGAGATCGACGGCTTCAGCTGTGTTCGGTTGAAAAAGGGTCAGTTTTTAGTTACATGGAATAACCGTCGAACACCGCTGGGCTTTCACATAGTTAAAATGGCCGCCGCCTCGTGGTCGACATACGAACGACGACCACCCTGTATTCGGTTTTAATTGAGAAGTGTCTGTGGTTAACCGCAACGTTCTAATTGGGATCAATAGGTTAACCAGCAGCACACTTCTCTTCTGGTTGGCCGTCCGTTCGGTAGTTCCTTTCGACAAAAAAAATACATTCCCTTAAACAAGGCATACGAATGGGGAAATTCATACAAACGGCAAAACAGATGAACACAGCAATTCTAGTTCATACAAATGGGTCTGTCACAAACTCCATATAAAAACATGTATAAATAAGAGCTCAGGAAAGAACAGTAAAGAAATAAAACAAGAAACTGGGGAGCTGCTACAGAGAAAACCTCCTAAACAGGGGGTAACCCCTATGGATAAATAGCAAAAGGAAAAGGAAAAAATAGGAGGATTTCTGAGTATCCAAAAGAAGTGGAAAATCGGTATTCAAAATAGTAATAATAATGTGGAAAGATACCTAATTCAGTCAGGATTAGATTGAACAGATTGATCAAACTTAGCCTTTAATGAAATCCTAGCCATAAAGTGGGAAAACCAAAGGAAAATAAAAATCCCAACAAAAACGAAACATCAATTAAATAAAGACCATACATACAAAAATAACTATATATACCACAAAGGGAAGGTCTACTAAGTGTAGAAGAAATAGCCTCCCTATATACCTCCTAAATAGAGGAAAAAATTACATAAAAGTGATAGATCTACTAAATGGTGCAAAGTAGCTCAACCTACATACCTCCCAAATAGGTATAACATAAAGAGGTTTGAATGTCTAAAACCTCTAAAAAAAAAATCTAGTAAAATACTAGCATAAACAAACCGATGCTAGAATCACACACAAACTAAACAGCAGTGCGAGGTAGAACTGGAGTGGACAGTACAATATGAGCTGATGCACGTAGCGAGTGGAATAACTAGCCAGATAACTGTACTGATATAGGATAAAGCTTGAAAACTCCCAAATAGTCTTAAATCACCTATAGAACAAGCTGATGAATATTCCCTATTGTGCCTTTGAGGGCACCCCTTAATAAAAAGCTGTCCAGGTATTGTTTCATACCGCCCGACCCATCTATCATCTAACAAACAGTGCAGTATATGAGTAAGTTTGAGGAGTATGTGGAGTGGAACAAATAGTACGTTTGGTGACTTAGTCAGCATGTGAATAGTACAAGTGGTTCCAACATCTACACCTCTGATGCGCGTTTCACCTTTCGTCTTTCAGCTGATTCTGATACTAATAGGTAGTAATTTCTGCCACAGTGGTTTTATATATATATTTATCGAGTGTGCTCTCACCACAATTTTTATTTTGCTTTGATTCACTGGGTCACTGGTATTTATTGATGATGTGACAGAAGACAGATGGAGCCGGATAAATTCCCAAGTAAATAGGGAAATATTGTCTGCTCAGATTCAGCCAAATTCAGCTGTCCAAGTTGATTGGATGGCACTTCACTTTACAAATGGACAATGACCCAAAACATACTGTGAAAGCACACCACAAGGTTTTTAAGGCAAAGACCGAGTGAATCACCTGATCTCAACCCAATCAATCGTGCACTGTAGCGGAGCTGCAATACCAAGCATAGGTATCTCTGCTATTCCTCATAGCTAAAAGGAGCATTGTAAAAATCCAAGACCCTTTCCCACAGCAACTAGATGACACATAGTTATGGGAGTCAGTAGAGTTTATTATGGCCACACATGGCTTTTATGCACTGACCCCTAGCATGGGGTATCCACATCAGAGTCACAAGGGTTTTTTAATAGAATGTTCACAACTTAAGTGCGAAATCACAAGGGAATTAATTAATGAATGCTTCCCCTGGATGGCAGCCATTTTGTATAACCGAACATGTGGCAGACAAAAGAATGGTGGCCATCTTGTCTCCCGAGCATGGGCAGCGGTACTTGGTCATTGGGTGTCTGGAACTTGTAACGGACCGTTTTGCACACGAGGGGTAAAAACCGTTTAGGCGATCGTCCCCCTTTCCAGAGATGCAGGCACAGCTATTGTAAAACACCAAACTCACGAACCGCCAATAAGGGAATGCTCCAAACTCCCAAACGGCATACAATATAGCACTCCAAACAGACGAACTGGAACCATATGAATCGCTGCTAGCAGACGAATAGGAAAAGCATCCAAGCGGCTTACACTTAGCAATCAGTCTCTATCAGCGTTCAGTAAATCCCCCCAAAGACGAGACAAGGCTCCGTGTTTAGGGTCAAGCAGTGGTCTGTTTAATGAGGGCTACCTGCCCGGTATTTATGCAGGTCTCCCACTTGGTGGACACTCCCCTAGGGGACCAAATGGGAGACTGAAATCACAGAGGGACATGGGGACATTCTGGACATACATCCCCACAATATTCCCAGCATGCAGTACAGTTCCCTCCCCTCTGCTCGGGGGATAATTGGGAAGTAATTCAATTATCTCCCCGAGCAGAGGCAATCGCCATTTTAAACACAAGTTACAAAAACACATAAAAATCCATAACTTAATAACTGTTGAACATTTTACATTAGTCTTGCATATCCCCAGATAGCCTGGATCTGAGGGCACATTATTGGAGAATAGCGCTCAGATCCCATTCGCACAGTTCAATCGCCATGGAGTCAAAGTCTCTTTCAGTTCTTCGGTATGCGATTGACTCCATGGGACGGCTATCTGGGTTAAGTCCATTCGTGTGGTTGAATCTCCCGAACGGCTGTCATTCGTATGCTTTTGTCGATTGAGAAGGGGAGGTCGACGGCTTCAGCGGTGTTCGGCTGAAAAAGTGTCCGTTTTCAGATCCATGAAACAATCGTCGAACACCGCTGGTCGTTCGCATGGACAAAATGGCCGCCGCCTCGTGGTCGACATACGAACGACGACCACCCGGCATTCGGTTTTAATTGAGAAGTGTCTGTGGTTAACCGCAACGTTCTAATTGGGATCAATAGGTTAACCAGCAGCACACTTCTCTTCTGGGTGGCCGTCCGTTCGGTAGTTCCGTTCGACAAAAACCGACATTCCCTTAAACAAAGCATACGAACGGGGAAATTCATGAAAACGGCAAAACAGACGAACACAGTACTTTTAATCCAGACAGATGGGTCTGTCACAGTTTCTACTAAGATATATTGTTTGATTTAAGTGTATATATTATCAATTTTCTGTAATTAATGAATTATGTCCATATTATATCACAATGAATTATTAAATAAAGTAATGAACTTTATCTAAAAAAATTTTTGAGTGCAGTATCATTTTTTGGTATTTTGTATATTTTGAGGTATATGGGCCACCTTGATACTATGCACCAATACGGATGAAAGAGTGCCTGTACATAGAACTTTTTTTCACTGAAAAATATATACATAATATAAATATTTTGCAGTACATTGATAGGTGCAGTTTCCTGCCATTTGATTCACAAATGTAACCAATAGAGGGAAAAATAGGAGGAGCAGTAATAATCTATATTTGTATAGTATATACCGTAAAAGGTCTATTTAGAAAAAGTCGAGCCATTGTTAATATAACGAGAATGTTTTTTGCAAAAATCGATGTAACCTGGCAGCCAAGGAGAGTGGATTGGAATACGCATGAACAATGACGACTTCTCTATACTAGTCAGTGCTGTTGAGTGAGCATGTGTACTGTGTGGCCATCACATTCAGCGAGTAGAGCAACGAATATTCATCCAATTTTGCGTTAGGCTTTAACATTCCTCAGTGAAAACTATTTGGATGATTCAGAAGGCTTTTGGGAATATTGCAATGAGTCCAGCACAAACGCTTAAGAGATGGTTGAGAACCAGATCTAGAACTCTGGGACTTCTGACTTTTCCCAAACTAAAATCACCTTTAAAAGAGCAGGAGATTTCAGACAGTTAATGAGAATCAGGTGAATTTGACAAGTCAGCTGTTGATGATTGCAACAATGGATTTTGCAGTGTTTTAAACAGTGGAAGAGACGCTGGGAGAACTGTGTGAGCTCCCAAGGTGCCTACTTTGAAGGCGACTGAAGCGTCATTGTCCTATGTACAATGTTTCTTATATCTTGTATCTTTTTCAATAAATTTCTCTATTTTTCATATTACATGGCTGCATACTTTCCAGACAGACCTAGTATTTATTAAATATATATTAAATATAGAATGTATTTCTGGTCCTCCTTTTTCCCTCCCTCTGTTGGTCACTAATCACTTCATCTACAAATAAAATTAACATTTAATGGCTGTTTCTTCATTGCCATCAATATTTTTTTCCCCCATCAATCATCTCTTTTGGTGCCACAGGCAGAGTTCTGAATCTTTTATAAAACGATCTTGCTCCTACATTGTGTGATTTATGTGGATTGTGATTTGGCTAAATTTCAACTCAGAGTTTGTGAATTTGTGCTATCATCAGATTGGCCCAAACTTGTACTAACTGGAAAAAATAAAGTTTTTCATTTTGGTGATAGTGACAGCTGGGAGCAGGCACGGACTGACCATCGGGCAAACCGGACAAATGCCCAGTGCAATGTATGTTTGTCTTTTATTTATACAAAACTTCACACTATTTACTCGATGCATACATAATACCATAATTAGCCACCAAACTAATGCACAATACTCTCTCCTGGCCTTTTTGTCCTCTGGTATCCTTAGGGAGACACCAGAGACAAGTCACAAGCAAACACAGCACTGAGCATTACACAGGGCTCTTTTCCCATGCAAGAGTTCTTTAGCAGGGCTCTGCACATGGGCTGCAATGGAAGAGCATTGAACTAACATGCTTACTTTGGGTGATGTGTTTGTCATTGGTGATTACATAACACACCCCTTCTCTCTGGCTCGACCCCCTACCAGTGGGCCTCTGTCAGGATTATTGCAAGCAGAACAATATCACATATAGGACGTTTAACTGGACCTTAGAATGGCCGGACTTAACGTATCCAAGAATAGTCAGAATACTTGCCGAGGTCATGGATACAGAATGAGACACAATGATGAAGGAAAGCCAAAAGTCAAGGATACCAGAAATCAGGGAGTTCAAAACGAAGCCAAAGTCAAATACCAGAAATAATACGAGCAGGAACACTCTCTCAGATAACCAGCAAAGGGAAACCACGACAGGGCAATGAGTAAAAGGAGAAAGGAGTTTAACCCCTCAAGGACAAAACTTCTGGAATAAAAGGGAATCATGACATGTCACTCATGTCATGTGTCCTTAAGGGGTTAAATAACCCTCCTGCAGACCTGATTGGCCGTAACCGGCTTTTGACCCCAAAAGTGCGCGCGTCTTTTACGTGACGTCACACACACGTCGACACCGGCATTACCATGGGGCTACAATATGACATTGATCCGCATTGGCCGGCATCCACCGATATGCTGCAGGTCAGGCATACTGGCGCAGGACCGCTGAGCGGCACCTTTATTACCGCTAGGAAGGCAATTTCCACCATACACCATGCAAACACCATAAGGTAAGGATGAATACGTGACAGCCTCTCTGAATAGAAAATATCTGGGCCAAATGTTTTTCCCAGTCTGGCCAGGAGTAGGGGTGTAACAGGAAAATTAGCTAATAAGTATTTGTTACTCAACTATGGGCTTTCCAACATGCTATTCCTTGCACTCCATGCACAAAATTAATTCTGGTATCCATTTTGAAGCAGAACACTACTTTTCTAAATAGCACTCCCATTGTGCATTATTCTACAAGGGCACACACCATGGTGTAGGAATGACATTGCCTAGTAAGCAGAAATCAATATCTATAAAATCTCACTTATTCAGGTGTCTATTTTGAGATATATATATATATATATATATATACCCTGCTAGGACATTTATCATTTTTTTTTTTTATTTTTTTTTTTATTCTTTAGTTTTAGAGTGCAAAAGTTGGTAGAAAATGTATAAGTAAAATATAGTATCATATAAACAATGTTGATAAACATAACATGTAAGGTCATGAAAGGCTGCACTTATTTTAATTAATAATAAATCAAGAGAAATCCTCCTTCCAGGGAGGAAACCAGAGCAGTGCTAATATAATAGAGGAGAGGCTGCCCTGACATGGTGAGAGAATGTAAAATATTAATGCTGTAAAGTCAAGAGGGTAAAGATGTCAGTGAGGGAATCAAAGAAAACATAGAAGAGAGAGCAGGCCAAGTAAACTGACATGTTACCACTGGGTATCAAAATTAGAAGGAAGAAAAGGAAGAAAAAGCCTACTTCTATGCTTATAATTCCTGCAATGAGGTTGAGGTATAGACCAGGCTTGTTCAACCGATGCTGCTGGCAGGTCATGGTAGAAAGACTGATCTGGTGGTAAGTAGGCAATCCAGTATTCCAATCCAATCCTTGCGCATGGCATACTTCCACTGAACGTTCGGTACTTGATTTTCAAATGTTTTCAATTGTTTGTGTGCTAGAGCCATTCGCAGGGTTTTTTTAGCATTCGATTCTTTTCATTCCCCCACTAAAATTTTGCAGGCTTTTCGGCGGCCATTTTGTACACCGTTTCTATGGTGTTAGGACTTTTTTTGCACCTGCTATTTCAACTCAGTTATCTGCCTCTTGTCAGCATACTGCCTCAAGGGACGAGTTACGGTTGGTGAAAACTACCTTGGGGTGTGTGACAGCCGGTTAGTTTATAATAACCAGTAACCCGACCTGGGGTAAGCCCCCATAATTAGTGCTGCCCAACGGGAATTGTCTATGCAATCTCCCTCTTATACCTGGGTGAGCCCCAGAGTGTCACATACTAGGCCTGTTTATATATTTGGCTGAATAGTGCCTTGGTGTCCCCCCTTACCAGTCCCTAAGCCTCATCTGCCTACCTACATTAGCCGATCCATATATATTGTTTATGCTAGATTTGGATGAGACCCAATTTATACGTAATTAATGGAACGTAACATGGAGTATCCACAGCTTCCCACTGACTTGCAAGCCCTAATTAATGCGGCTGTTACGGCTTCAGTAGAAAAAGCCTTGGCTAAGTCTCTACGCACAGGCCTCGAAACATCTCAACAGCCAACCAAACGCACCCAATATCAGGAGGCATCAGAAGATTCAGATTGCTCAACCGAGGAACAACCCCGCCCAGCTAAATGCCACTGAAAGGGTGAGTGATCTAAGATGGGCCTATCTAAGGGCAAAGCCCCATTGAAACATGGAAAACAAGAAGGTCCAATACCCCAACCGGTACTTGACCTTTCCTCGGACGAGGAACAGGATTTACCCCTGTAGCGGAGCGCTGGTTTAACATAGGTTTTTCCTCCGCTGGTATTCCAACAGCTACTCAGGAGCAAGCAGGAAATTACAAGAAGAACAGCATAAGCAGCAAATAAATCCACGAATCTCCCATCACCTTTCCCAATAGCTGGACGACATCCAGTATCAGGAACAGAACTCATTTTTAATGTCACACACTCTGCTTTTCAGCAATTCTCCCATGCAAGGGAGACACCCACAGAGAATTATGAATATGCTAATCCTACAGTACACATATTCCCTCCCCTCAGTAATTATCTATACTGTGGTGAAACTAACCTCGCTACTGGGTCCTGGAGAAGCCTGTGTTACAAAATGCCTTTTGTCCCTATTTTCTCTTATGACAAATTGCCCTGCTTCCCTGGGTTATGGAGAAGCCTGATTGCCAGCCTCCTGACTATGGCCCCCTCTCATCAGCCCATGCTAAACTTAAACCCCATGGAGATTTGACTGTGGTTGTGGGATCTGAGCGCTGTTTGGATATATTGAGCGCTCAGATCCAAGCCATCTAGGGATAGGTTGAATGTGGGGGTTGTGATCAGTATGATAGGAGTGACATCATACTATGCCCCATCCTAGGCTAATCCTGTTTTTGTGTATTTTTGCTGCTGTTGTGAATAGAGATATTTTCTGTACCTGAAGAAAGTTGGCATACC